CACATCTGTTTGTGCTTCTATCAAAAGGTTTTTTTTGTTATCGACCTCCGTCTGTCTAACTCTAACACGACTTGTTCTTTTATCCTTAACCTGCTGCACGCAACGCAACTTTCAAGACAGGAACACGATATTGTCCAAAATCACCAGATTGAATTAAATTTTGCTTTAAATCCACAAGTTTGTTTCAGGTACTTTTGTTTTTTAAACTCACCTATTTCAGCTATCTCAAGGCTGAAAGATTTTATTATTTTACATATAATATGTTAACAAATGATGTTGTACTCACACTGGATATATCCATCATCAGTCACAAGATTCAGGTGCTATCCTTAACCTTTAAGCATCCAGCGGGTCTCACATGACCTGTGTCTAGGGATAGAACTACAGTTAGAGATAGGGTTGGGTTTCATTTTAACCACATACTCAACTTTTCAGAAACCAGAAGATCTTTCCTTTTAAGTAAAGTCTCATATAATAATTTTTGCAGGTAAACGAATTTCCATTTGCATTTTCAGTGAGTGTCTGAATAGTTAAAATAAGACAAAATTTGGAATGGCCTAGTTAATGCCGGACTTAAATCTTATTGAGATGCTTTGTTATGACTTTGCAGCAATTCATGCTCAAAAACCCTCTGAATTAAAACAACTCTCAAAGAAGACTGCGTCAAAATTCCTGCACAGTGATGCTAAAGACTCATTGCCAGTTATCCCAGTTTGTTTGCAGTTCTTGCTGCCAAAGGGCGGCACAACCAGTTATTAGGTTTAGGGGAAAATCACTATTTCAAATAGGGCCAGGTAGGTTTGTACAGGGTTTTTTTTTTCTTAGTGAATGAAATCTTAATTTTAAAAAATGCACTCTGTATTTATTAAATTTCCTATATCCAATATTAAAATTTGTTTGATGATCTGAAACATTTAAGTGTAACAAATATGCGAAGAAATCTGGATGGGGACAAATACTTTTTCACTGCACTTTAACACGGATAAAGTGGACAATGATTTATTTTTAACTTCACTGATTCCACAATTCTCCAAGATATCGCTCATTTTCTTCATATCCATTTCCATTTGTTTGTGAAGCCATTTACCACAGATGCACACACTTGTACAGATAAGTGTACTTGCATACCAGAGACCATTACAGTCCAGCTCCCTCACACTATAAGGACAAGACTTCCAGGTCATTAACCTACACTGTGACAGAATATCAGTCTTATTCTAGAAAATCACTGTTTTCCTTCCCCCGGATGTTCCTGTCACTGATTATCAAAGGATTGCAGTCTTGTCTTGTTGAAATATAATATGATATTTCCACTCCCATAAGCATGTTCATAATTCTCTCTTATTGCTCAGTTTGTCCACAACATCCTTTTGCCCTGCTTTCTCCTCTCCCCGCTGTATCTTTGCACTCTCTGCAACCTCTCATTTAATTATTTTTCTTTGATTTTCTTTTTTAGGAACGCTTGAACTGAGGTGCATATGCATGTGTGTGGTGTGTGTGTGTTTTGTGGGAGTATAGCTGTGATAAGGGACAGGGAACTGGTGTGCTAAGACTTAGATGGATGATGTTTTTCTCGCCCTAAGCCTCACTCCAGAGTTATAGTTTCTCCCCTTACAGCTATATCAACCAGCTAGTTTCATTTTTTTTAAAAATTCAGCCCCTTTGAGTCACAAAAACATGAGCATGGATTGTAAACACAACAGTGTTTTTGCTTTATTCCACGATTCCTTTCGATTTCATTTGTCAATTGTTTTGCAGCAACATACCATGCCTTAAGGTTTTTTGCCTTTTTAAGGAAACACACACAAGGTTTGAAACCTGAGTAAAGAAATCAAAAGAGATACATGTTTTAGTGAAACTAAAGCCACACTTATTCATCTTTGCTCTGTAAAAAAACTGAAATGAGGTGAAAAAAATTAATCTCTATTGTCATTGCTCACTGATAACTTCATGTCACTGCATAGACGCTAATCAAGCAATAATGACATCAGACTCTTTTTCAGTAAACGATAAATTTGTCTGATGCTGTGAAATACTGATAACGTCAGGTTAATCCTATAGCTTGCAGTGCATTTTCCTCTAAACCATCTGTCTTGACTTTGTGCCAGACAAAATGACACTGAAATAAAACCTATTTCATCATGTTTGATTAACACTTGCAGCAGTGTTAGATAAACTGCTGCCTCAAGGGGGGGAAGCACAATGTCATGGTGCACGAACATATCTTTACATGCCCACCGTGAATAAAACTTGTGCTTTCCAGAGGCAACTTCTATGACAAAAAGTGTAGACATCATAGTATATGAACATGATGGGTTGTGTAGTCTCTCAATGAGGGTTCAGTTACGTATGGGTGGGGTAGCACAGTGGTGTGGAAGGCCGTGAGACTCACTCACCTCCATGTGTTTATAAACCACTTTGAATTCAGTCATTAGCTATTATTAATCTCTGGCTCTCTTCAACAGTGTGTCTCTTCCTGTGTTTCTCCCCTCACCCTCATCTGGTGACAGCAGATGGCTGCACCTTCCTGTTAAAAAGGAGTTTTTCCTTCCCACTGTCACCAAGTGCTCAGCATATTGTGCAGTTATACTTTGCCCTGTAAAAACAAAGACAGCGATATCATGGATTTTCATTTCCACCTACATATTCTGTTAATTAAAAGTATCGGACAAATTGCATAGAATGCAATGAACACATGGAACATTTTAAAATTTAGTTTAAGTTTCACCTCATTAGTATCTGTTTGGACAACAGTATATATCTATCTGATCCAATTCATGTTACAAGTCAAAACACTGATTGTCTTGGTCATTGCATTTTCTTCTGTTTCTTTTTTATAATTTTCAAATGACTTTTTTAGCATTTGCTGTTTTGTTTTTTTTAACACACTGTTGTCTTAAACATGTAACAGAGGTGTTCTTGTGCATGAGGAGAGAGAGAGACAGATGATAATGACACACAGGATCAGATGTCCCCCTCGGTGGCCCTGGGAACAACATCTGGAACCCGTCCCTGCCTGGTGACATCACACAACCAGCCTAACCTTTGGCCCCAAACCGGCTAATTAGCAGCATGTCCCTCCATAAGTGCCAGGGTCCCCACTTTTTTTTTTCTCTTTCCATCTTTCTCACTGCCCCCTCTCCACCTGTTGCCTCATGTCACTGTGAGTATGAGTGAGGCTCTGAGAGGGCAAAATGCTCACTGAAAGGCTCTCCTAAACACTTACAGGACCTTTATTTGTTATTATTATTAAGAAGAACGGAATGCCCACTCACCACATAGGGTTTCTCTTCCTTATAGGCCATATGTGAATTTAAGTAAGAGTACAAATTATATTTATGACAGTGTTACATCAGGGCCTGTGTTTTATCAACTCACGGGACAGAGAAAAAAAGGTTTTCGTGAGCTATTTTTGTTCGACTCCCTTTCCCTCTCTCTCGCACTCTCTGTTTCTCTCTGGTGGATCCATGTATCTCAGAGGTGATCATCAATCTAACAGACTCTATTATTACTTTTCAACTAAGTGCTTTGATTTCCAGCCCACCCAGAAGATTAAACCCCCTTCTTCCTCTCTTCCCTCTCCCTCCTTTCCCCCCACTTATCTTTTTTTTTTCTTTGCTCTACTTTCTTACTCATTTCCTTACATCTGCCCTGTATTTCTTCCCAAAGAGCTTTGTTCTTCCTCTATCCTTTTTAAGGCTTTTCCACTTGAAGAAGTGCAGCCCAGCCAAAATGGAAGGATTTCACTGTGTGTTTCTTTTTGATAAATTAGATAATACCTGTTTGGATGCACTGTGACACCGGAAGCTATGGGGCTAAAGGTCAGCTCTCAGGAGACACACCTGTTTTCCTTGCACACTTCAGCTGTGTAGCCAACGGATCTGCTCACACAAACACAAACCCACAAACACAATCCCGCATCCCAGGAGGAAAGACCTGAAGCTTCATGCAAACTCGTCATATTTCAGTGTAATGATGAACAGTTTAAACAAAAAAAGCAAGTGAACAGGAAGCATGGGATTATCAGTAATGTACCCCACCGGAGCTCCAGAGACCTCTGTTGTTTGGACTTGGGCCTGAGTGGGCCAGTGCATGGAGCATCAGTGTGGAATGATGTGGAAGGCCAAACAGGGGATTGTGGGTGCCAGGTATCTATTACATCAGAGGGGACTGAGGCGCCAGTTTGCCATTTGAGACGTGACACCACTCCAAAAACCCCACACCCACTGTCCTTGCACTTTATTCTGTTACTGGCAAGATGTGCTGAAAGTTATGTGGACACTGTGAGCGGAACTGGCTAAACTGTGATCCTTTTGGAGCTGAATTGCAATTATTTTGCACAAATCTAATTTCATAATTCATTATTCAATCAAATAAAAAATAAAAAGACTACCTTTTCTTGTAATTAATTAAACATATCACTACACAGATTACATTTGTATTTTGCTAATGGTTAGTTCATTTCCAGTTTCTAAGAATGCACGTCTTTATTCATGTTACAACTAATGCATTAAAAAATATTTTTTATTACTCACTTTATTGTGAACCCTACTTCAGGCTGCATAGTTTAAGGAGTGCAGTTGTGTGCTGTGATCACTGTAACTACATAATTTGGAGGTCTCAAGCAAGACAAAGGTTAACTTAAAATACAGTAGATGTACAGAACTGATTGGTGGGCAATGCATGTAGTTGCCAATGTAATTTTTCAGTAATTATGACAAAAGGTTCAAGAAAGAAAGAAAGAAATTCTATGTATAAATGCACCTGTCTCTCTTTTTTTTATGAGGAAATCACATGTTCCGGGTTGAACAATGATTAAAATAAAACACATGTCCTACATCTTGGGCTCATCCAGGGTCCCTTGGGATCCTCGAAACCTTTGGGGAGCCAGCAAGAAAGATCAGTACCGCTGTCTCCTCCCTGCATGTGGTAACGCCCTCTCTGGTCACAAAGATAAAAAAAAATCTGTTCCTTTCTGCACAGTTAGTTGTTCATGAACATCCAGCGCACATCCTGTTCAATCGTGTCCAGCCGAAGAATTCTGCTCCCATGTTTTGAGCCCGCTTCAGTGGGAATACGCTACTAATATGTCCACCGGGTCTCTCAGCGATGTCGACGACGAGCTCCTGGACGGCATCCTGAAGTTTGGTTCCTCCGGTAAAGATTCCAACGAGAGCACGGAGGAGAGCTCAAACTGCGAGGGCTCATGCGCAAACGAGGAACGGAGAGAAACGCCCGGCAAAAAACGGAAGACAACGTCCAGGAAAACGGCGCCCAAGGGTGTGGCACAACAGGAGGGCAAGCAGGTGCAGAGGAACGCGGCCAACGCCCGGGAAAGAGCCAGGATGAGAGTCCTGTCCAAAGCCTTCTCCCGGCTTAAGACCTCCTTACCCTGGGTACCACCGGATACCAAGCTCTCCAAACTGGACACACTGCGCCTGGCGTCTAGCTACATAGCACACCTCCGACAGATACTGGCCAACGACAAATACGAAAATGGATATATCCACCCTGTTAACCTGGTGAGAATGGGCTTAAGGGGCTTGTACCTTTTTGCTCCCCAAATTTTCACACTTCCAATTTGGAGTTTTAATATAATAATGTAGTGAAATACCTGAATCACTTTTAATCAAAATCCAATGTTGTTTCGTTATTTTAACGTGGCCTGCAAAGGCCAAATTATAGGCCTCAATTACTCAGTAAAGTGACAAAGGAGGGCGATCGCTCAACTAGGCAGGTGCACGAGGGAGGTAAAAAACAAACAAGCAAACAGCCAGCCTCGTGCAAGCGTAATAAATACCCGACAGTTTACAATCCCTGTAGGCTGCAGACCAAGAAGTGCAATTTCATCGTTAGGCCGTCAGTGCCGGCAGTGATTCGTTGGGGAGACAGGTGAAATTAATGTTGCAGTGATGTCATTTTTTAAAAATAACTTTTCGGAGCAAATTGAGAAAAAAAACGGATTGCAATTCAAAATTATTTATCAAACGCTAGAACTGAACTTAATTAAATATGAATATTGGAGCCAGAAAACGTTAAATGTTCCACGTTAAAGCTTTATATTGTGACTAACATGTTTGTTTTAATAACACCCGAGAGCACTAAGTGAGACTGTTTGCTCCAAATGAATGATGTTTTTATTATGTTTACCTAGTGGTTTAAGGTGATTCCACGCATACTGGCTTTGAATTTAGGTTTGATTTAGTCTAAACTCTTTGACAGTGCACGCTCTAACTGGTTGCGTTTTCCTCCGCAGACGTGGCCTTTCATGGTTGCAGGTAAACCGGAGAACGATTTGAAGGAGATGCTGAACTCAACGAGGTTGTGCGGAACTACGGCGTCTTGATGCAGCTCAGTGGCAGCAGCTCTTTGCCTTTTTAAAGGAACAATGAAAAAAAAATCCTATAGTGACTGAAATGCAAGTCTCATCTCTGCAGACTTTGAGTGGGAATAACGGGAGGGCATCCCACTCTCCTTCGTTCCCGTAAAGAAAAAAAAATCGTTTATTTAAATGCATTGTGATCTTTTATCTTTGCTGGTTCAAAGATAAACTTTGTACTTTAACCCTTGTATGGTGTTCGGGTCTGTGAGACCCGTGTTCAGTTTTTTTCAAAAGAAAAATTAAACAATTAATTATTTTTTCACGTGTAAATGTGTTGTGTCTTTCCACTCACTCCACTTGATTATAACTGATTTATTTATAACATTTTATATAAAAGAAAAACGAGAAGCACATTAATTCATAAATGTGATCTAACAAAGGTAAAAGGAAAAAATTAACCATGTTTGCTGTTCATATGTCTTGTAATTGGGATGAAGTAAACATCTGTTGAGTAATTTAACATAAAATTGTTTGATGGTGTTAATTTGGAAAGCCAAAACTCTAGCGGGTCCACCAGACCCATAAACACTGGCTGAGTAACAAAAATACGAACACCACACAAGGGTTAAATTGCTTTTTTTCGTTTTCTTTTTTCTTTTTCTTTCTTTTTTTTTCTTTTTTCCTTTTTTTCCAACAAACAGTAATAATCTGCAGATGCGTTTTTACTGATGCAGGCCTGTGTTTTGCGATTGTCTTATGATGGATGGATGATTTGATGGATGGCTGGATAAGGCACATGAAACCTGCTCAAATTGTTGTACAGATTACATGAAGTATATGAAATATATTTGTACCACTTTTACACTCTGTGTAACCAGTCCTTATTATTTTTTTCTTGTGTGGGCCAATAGTTTGACCTGGCAACCCGCCTTATCGCTCCATTCCTTCAGAATAGCAGACCCTGCCCACCAACAAAGCGTAGGTACAGATAGCCCGAGTCTCCCTCTGTTGTGTCTGAAAGATAACAGTGGACAAAGCTGTCGTTACATAAACAAACGTTTGCCTTGGTAGATTATGTGGGCGTTATAAAGGAGTTACTCTTCTTGTGGCGTAAACAGGCCAAATAGGCCAAATCACGTTTATCTCGTTGCTAACTTTGCTGATAGGGTAAATGCAAGAAAGGTAAATAAACCGGGTGCCAGTTTGAGAAGTATCATTGTTGTCACTGACTTTTACTTTTTTAAAATTGTTTTAACCTAACTGTCAGGGCTGTTTAATAACAGTTTATTATCTTATTTATGAAGCTACACCGCTAAAATATGAGCAGCCATCGTCGTTTTTCGTTAGCTTAATTGCATTTTGCCTTATCAACTCACGCGCATGCGGTGATTGGATTGACTAATTAGCATTCGGCCAATCAGAAGGCAGTCGCTGGAGGTCAGCGGACGCTGGAGTTTGTTTCTTTTAGACGTAGAAAACCTGCTTTAATCCCGCCCAGACCAGTTGTTTTAATTTGCTCGGGTTATGACCGCTGTGTTTACATCACGTCGACAGTTATTTATGCGCTCTGACACAAGGCCTCTCCCCCTTTGTCTCTCTTTTTCTCACTGCGGTTTATTGGGAATGAAAAAAAAGAGAGCGCAAAAAAGGGAGAAAGCACTAGTTTTCACTTACTCCTTAAAAACAACTAACTAAACACCTAGGCTATAACCTATATGACCTCTGGAGGTCAAGTACTCTTTCAAGTCAGAAAAAATAACACGCAGTTTTCATACCTTTAGAAATGTAGAGAATTTCTTTTTTCTTTTTTCTTTTTTGCCTGTCCCGTTTGGCTCTTTTGCCATCAGAATTGTTGTCTAAAGGCAAAGAAAGATGCCCAACGGATTTACTTTACCAAACTGACCATCCCAGCCTTGCCGTAATGGTCCATTTGATTCACCTTTTATTGTTTATTTTATTTTCACTTACTGAATACGGGACAGACTTGACTGGGGGAAAGAAGGGGAGAAAGAAAGAGGGAAAGAGAAACAGCTGAGAAGAGGGACGGGGGAGAAGGGCAAAAGACAAAAACCAACAGAACGGGCAGAGAAAAAAAAATGCATATATCAATCACCTGGATCACCTGCTGAGAAAGAAAAAAGAAAGCAAGCAGAAGAGAACAAGAGTAATAGAATAAACAACATCACAATGATATATGGGAATATGACAGTAAATACTAAATGTTAAACAAAAAAAAAAAAAAAAAAAGAAATGTAGAGAATTTTTAGGCAATTTTTTTCATTTATATATATATAAATGATATATATATATATATATATATATATATATATATATATATATATATATATATATATATATCAGCCTGTTTTCCAAGTCATTTGGCTATAGCTAGTATAATTATTGGCCGATTTTCCATCCATATCTTTTGATCTATTTATGATATATTAGCTACATTGCTGTAGATTTAGCCATTCAATAGAAGAAGATGTTTTGTTTTCTTTTACTTTTTTATCTATGTCTCCAGAGCGCTGTGAGAATCAGCCAGTGAGCTCATAATGTCTCATCAGAGTCTTTCAGTGAAATCCTCTGAACTCTTCTGTTTTTAAATGGACATTTCCATTTAAAAACTCTCAGTTTGAGTCAGTTTGAGAGTTTTCATTTAGGATATTGTGAGTTGTTTTAAGACAAAACAAAGATCTGAGAAGGATCTGAATACTACATCAGGGAGCAAAAGAGCAAGGCAAAAAAACATGAAGTCAATCCAGTCAGTCATTTTTTTGTATTTTGCTCATCTTTTTTATGAGTGAATTTGGAAAATAATAATTTTATAAAATATTGCCAAATGAAGCTTACATTAACCCCTGGGTGTATTCTCAGTTTCCTCGATTTTTACACTATCGTCTTTAATGATTAGGACTTCCCATTTCAAACTAGCAGCAGGGATGTAGGTGAGTTTAATCACACACAGTTGTTACTTAAATAGAAGAAGAGGAAAAAGAAAAATAAGAATAGTAACAAGTATCCTTTAACAGGAACAATAAGATTAAGTGCAGCAGTAATAAAAGAGTCCCACCGACATCTCTTAAAGGACCCTCACCTAATACATCAGCAGGAGTATGGCGGGGGCCTCGCCACCACCCCAAAGGGACCACCAAGGAGAAAATAAACTTGGCTGCCTCTCTCCTGGCTCCAGCTGCAGGGAAAGAGCAGGAGAGGAGGAGAGATAGAGGAGGGAGAGAGGGAGGGAACTGTATGAGAGAAGGGCTGGGATTCCCATACTTGCTAATTGTTTTGTTGGATGGCTTCCCAAAATTGTGGTGTGGAAAAGGTCCACACACTAAGGGGAGGAAACGAAAAAATCACATTTTGTTCCATCTGATCCCATCATGTTTCACATCTGCATGACCCTTGTTTTTCTTTGAAAACTTGATCTCGGCTTAGCTGTACGTCACTACTGTACGACAGCATAAGCTGATGTTTTATTTTACTTCCTAGAACCTCTTTAAGGACTGATGCACTGACCAGCCCATCTACAAACCACATACTCTCGCAGAAAACAACAGCATTTAACCCAATGACTCACATAACTTTGTTCTTTCTATTCTTACTGTCCAGGCCTATCCACAATGCCGTCTCTGGATACTGCATTTGCCATGCATGAAGTATCTACAGACTGCCATCTCCTGGACAAAATTTAAGTGAGGCCAAAATCTGCAAGCTCGTTTGTTATAGTAAATTCACTTCAAAACATTGTACTTTTCTACAATGACATTTATTTGTTGGATAATCCACAGTTAAAATATCTGCACATATCCATAGATATGATAAATACTCAGATTATTAAGGAAACTATCAGGTTTAGAACATAATGAACATGTGATATAAATTTTATAAATTGAAGAAAATATTTCAGGAAAACTATGATTTAAAATAAGTACGTATCTTAGTTTTGAATTAATTTGATATTTTATTGGATTTTTAAAAATTGCATTTGATTGACATGATATATTAAAAATGTAATGTTTACCACAGATTAGATGATCCTTGATGCCGAACCAAATATGACACATCCCAAACCTTTATTATTATTATTATTACTTTTTATTATTACTTTTATTATTATTATTATTATTATTATTATTATTATTACTTTTTATTATTACTTTTTATTATTACTTTTTATTATTACTTTTATCATTATTATTATTATTATTATTATTATTATTATTATTATTATTATTATTATTATTATTATTATTATTATCATTCTGCCTGACCAGATGAGGTCATGCAGGAGTCACCATTGCACACAAGAGAGGGCTGATATGATGTAATCCCATCCCCACCTTGAACACATCTGTGACTCCTGCCGCACACGCTTCCCCTTCAGCTCACCTAATACGTCTCTCAGCATGTTGCTTATGAATCAGGGAGTTAGGGTCTCTCTTATGAATTTCCATAAAAGGTGGATTGTGGGGTTTGTGATTTGCTTATTTCTTACTGATTGTCTATTTCTGATAACTATTCTGTCATAAAATAAGATAAGATTTAAATTGAACTATTCTACTACTATTACTATGTAAGTAAGTATCTTTAAGTATAGATATGTACATGCATACACACATGTACACACTAAACATATATATATCTATCTATCTATCTATATATATATTCTGTATATACATATACATGCACATGTCCATACATATATATGGTGCATTATGCATGAAGTGGTGACCGTGGAAGTCCACTGGATGTCCACAGTGTCCAAGTGACTCATGACATCATTGTTGAGGAGTTATAGAGTCTACCTGCTGTCGGGATGAACAATCTGCAAGAGTGCTCCTTCCTGAAGCAAGGGTGTCTCAGTCTCTGACTGCTCAGCGCACTCACAGACTCATGCAGAGGGTGATGTGGGTTGCTCATGATGCCTGCAGCATCTTTTTTATACCAGTAGATGGCAGCAGAGGAGTCTTCTTAACAAAAAGTACGATTGAGAAAGGCACTGAGGGCACAATTAGAGGACAGCATTTACAAAAACTATACAGATGGTAACGTAGAGCAGTAACTAAATGGAGCACAGTAAGCCAGACGAGCTAAAGCTAAGGTAGTTATTGAGCTTTATTTATGAGGACCCTCTCACTGGGATCTAAACACATACCTCAAGTGTTAAAATATAGGTCTGCTTTACCTATATAAAAAGCAGACCTATATAGGTCTGCTAATGTCCTGTAGGTGCCACTACATTTCCATATAACAGGCAGTAGTGACTGTGCTAGCTGTCTGTAGTAACTGCA